CCGTCATTAAGTACGGCTAGCCTCTTCCTTACTTTTTTGTTGTTCATTTGTTGTTGTTTTTTTGTTGTTGTTGTTGTATTTTTTAAAAGTGCCCTCAAAACAGCTCGTGCTTAAGTGTTGTAGTAGGATCAGAATGCGTGTTATCAACTAGTTAAAAATAGATATTCTTGAGTATTGTAAAGAGTCGAGTCTCGTGGTTGTTAGGATCGGGTGACTGACACAATGCTAGTCTACTGTGGTGTAGGTGCTCAAGACTTGGATTTTTTATATTAATACTGGCACTTTAGCTACTCTGAAACTCCGAGTTCACTGTAATGTAGGTGTTCAAAATTTTGGATTAGTTGTATGGGTACTTGCACGCCAGCTACTCTGAAATATTTATAGTCCTCTGAAATGTAAGTGTTCAATATTAGAATTATTTTATACTAGACCTTTTGCTACTCTGACTTATTTCTAGTTCACTAAAATGTAATTGTTCAAGATTTTGATTCTTTATATCGGTACTGGCACGCTAGCTACTCAGACATACGTGAGGCATCGTGGTGAAATCGTCTGTCGAAATAATGAAATTGGAGGAACTGGCATTTTTCTGTCAGTTTGACAATTTTCATCAAACTTCTGTTCTTTGACACAACACCTGTAATAAGGTCGATTTATAAACACATTTCTGTTTGGATTTTACTGGCAAATGTTGATTTAAGGCTAAAAAATGTAGAGCACAAGCTTTAAAAGTCGCTCAACTTTGGCAGCCATTTTCTTGCTAATTTTACCTCTGAAACCTGGCGACCACCTCCTCGTTCAATCCCAAATAACTCGACTTCTGTTCATGATAGATGGGTATTTTTTTCACTGACTGCAAGACAAATGAACAAGCTTTAAAATGATTAAATGATACTAGTAACTACCAATATCCATAAATTGACGAGATCCAGATTCCTTTGCGTCGTCACATATTTCTAAGGTGGTGTACATGGCCTTGTGGTCCTTGGGAAGGAGAGACTGTACTCGAAATTCTCTTTTGGCTTGGTCCTTTGTACAGTCCCCTTTACTGCCCTTTTTTATTAACTCGACCAGCGACAAGCCTGTCAAGACTGCTTTTTTCATCCTGACTTTGTTTGCGTTACTTTTATATTTATTCGACTTCAACTCCTGTCCTGTGGGTGGTTAGCGGGTGCTCTGGTGTGGTTAGCTCCTTCTCTCCTACCAAACTCCTATCGTCCTGATCTCTCCTCCTTCTTTTTTGTGTTTGTTACTCTCTACTCTCTTGTAACACCTGTAATATTCGGCTCTTATATGACCTTATTGCTGAAAAAGACTTACAAAACCTAAACCTCTGTCCTTGACACCTCAGGGAAGAAGACAATCCGTGGCTATGTTACAAATTTGTAAACCAGATTACTAATTTACCGATTACGAAAATATATATGTTGGGTGGGCAGCCCTGCAAATTGTATTGATGATGGTGTAAAACACTGGCAACAATAACAAGATCTCTCTGGCTGTCTCCCACAGGTGTTTGTAGGCGGAGGTCGGCACCATGAGTTCTGCAGACGCAGGAGCGGGAGAGACGGTGGAGGCGGTGGTGGAGGCGGGGCTACTCTCTATGACAGATGTCTTTATTCTCTCCCTTGCGGGGGGTTTCGCTGTCTACTGGTTCTTCTTCCGGAACCGGAAGCAGGACTTGCCGAACTTCAAGAAGTTATCCATAGCGTGAGTTTGTTATTGCTGTTATAAATTGTGATGAGTAATGAGCTCTGTGAGAATTGCGAATGTGTTGGCAAAGTTGTTTTGAGATAGAAGCTAAAATATGAAATTAGGTAAACTCAGGAGAAGTCTGAGTTTTTGTTGTTTTAATGCGCGGGGGGGG